CTCTGGCCACTGCTGAGTTTTCCAAACTTGCTGGCATATTGAATGTAGTACCTTAAAAGCATTATCTTTTAAGATTTTAAATAGTTTTTAAGGCCCATTTGACTTCACTATCCAGGATGTCTGGTTCAAGGTCAGTAACCACACGATTTGGGTTGTCCGGGACATCCACATCTTTCTGGTATAATTCCTCTGTGTATTCTTGCCACCTCTTCTTGATGTCTTCTGCTTCTGTTAGGTCCCTCCCATTTTTGTCCTTTATCAACTCCATCTTTGCACAAAATGTTCCTTTCATATCTCCAATTTTCTTGAACACATCTCTGGTTTTTCCTTTTCTATTATTTTCCTCTATATCTTTGCATTGTTCATTTAAGAAGGCCCTCTTGTCTCTCCTTGCTATTCTTTGGAAGTCTGCATTCAGTTTTTTGTAACTTTCCCAATCTCCTTTGCGTTTTGTTTCCCTTCCCTTCTCTGCGGTTTGTAAGGCCTCATTGGACAGCCACTTTGCTTTCTTGTATTTCTTTTTCTTTGGGATGATTTTTGTAGCTGCCTCCTGTACAATGTTACGAGCCTCTATCCATAGTTCTTCAGGCATTCTGTCCACCAAATTTAGTTCCTTAAATCTGTTCAACTGTGTGTTTATAAGGGGTTTGGTTTAGATTATACCTGAGTAACCCAGTGGTTTTTCCTACTTTCTTCAGTTTAAGCTTGAGTTTTGCTATAAGGAGCTGATGTTCAGAGCCACAATCAGCTCCAGGTCTTGTTTTTGCTGACTGTATAGAGCTTCTCCATCTTTGGCTGCAGAGAACATAATCAACCTGATTACGGTATTGCCCATCTGGTGATGTCCATGTGTAGAGTCGCCTTTTGTGTTGTTGGAAAAGAGTGTTTGTGATAACCAGCTTGTTCTCTTGAAAAAAGTTTATTAGCCTATGCCCTGCTTCGTTTTGTTCCTTTTATCTCTTGACTCCATACTTTTAGCATTCAAGTCCCCTATAATGAGAAGAACATCTTTCTTTGGCATCAGTTCTAGAAGGTGTTTTAAGTCTTCATAGAATTGGTCAAGTTCAGCCCCTTCAGCATGGGTGGTTGGTGCATAAAGTTGGATTACTGTGACGTTGAAAGGTCTGCAGATGAGACTGTACTGATCTGAATCCAGTTCCTCATCCAGTTGATGAGGAGCTGGATGAAGTTCAATAAACCCAAGGTAAATCTCAACAAGAATGAAGCCCTGTGGACTAATCACTTCTGGGAATTGGGCAGGCAGCCTCTTCTGCAAGAGTCAGCAGCTTTTCTGAAAGAACCAGGTGTATAACGTTGTCTACATCTTAATCAGTCCTGTCATTTGACTTTGGTGTCTGCAAATCCCTTTTAGGAAATTAGACATTCATGGACAAGGATAGCATAGCCACAGTGTGTGCATGTGCTGTCAGCCTTCGGGTTGGGTTACTGTTGTGCATCATCCAGCAGGTTGCCTTCAAAGTTGACCAGTCGGGATGGGATTTTAGAAATTCCAGCACTCTGAATCCCATAATTTGGTGGAAACCTGCAGGCCAAATTAGGGGATTGCAAATTCTCAAACCATCAGGAGGTAGAACATATAGAGTGTATGAGGCATATAGAGTAGATACTTCTTAGGAACTCATCCCCTAACCCCCCCCCCCCCCCCACACACACACCTTTGTGAGTTTTAGGGAATCTTTGTGACTCTCATGGTGCAGCAAGACACTTTCCTAATGGTTCATAGAATCGTATGGGAATGGTATGTAGGTGAGGGAGCTCTTCTCTCTCTTGCCAGTTTGACACTTCTTGGCCCCATAATTCATTCTGGGGCATGAGTATCACTGAATTATGGGCATGGACTTGGTGATTAGAGACCTCAATTAGTTATCAGAATCCAGTGGAAAGGATTAAAACCACTAGTTCTGAAGGTTTCTCTCTCCCCCCCCTTCCATATCATTAAAATAGATTATTGGCTTTGATGTTGAGGTATACTTCTCTTGAATTTTTCACTCTTAAATTTTCCTAGTGTGTAAAGGGAGCAGGGTTTTGGAAATGCTAGTCATTCTGAGGTATATTTCTCTAAAAAAGTTGCAGAGATTTAAGATTGCATTGTCTGCACAGATCTTTCACTACTGTTTAATACAACTGAGCGGCTCCTTTCCCCCATTTATAATAACAATAATGTGGTATGAAATCAATTCTGTCCTATTACAACCGTTTTCCAGGTAGAGAGTACTCAGAAGCAGTTTACTCTTCCCTTCTTCTAGGGGTGTCAGCTTACCCAAGACCACATAGGGTAGCTCTTCTGGGATGCACAGTGGGGAATTGAACTCCACAGCCAGAGACAGACCCATGTATCGAAAGAGGTTGAACACCATCAGTTTTCTCTCAGCAATTTGTTATACAAAAACAGCAGAGTAGTTTCAATGTGAGATGTCTCTTAATCTTTTAAATTATTTGGACCTCTGTCTCTTGCTGTTGGCATATGAAGTGCAATTGAAGTGGTTAGTGTTAATCCTGTGTTAGTTGTTAAATGGCCTCAGGGCTGGTTTTATTAACAGTCCTGGGAAAAGAGACTATCCTTGAAGCAGTCATGGTTGCGTCAGTTACCCGGTCATATGCAGAAAAGCACTGTGACAATCTTGAAACTTCCTTTTACAGACTTGAAGAATAGACTGGATCAAGTACTGGTCTGATAGGTCTGCGATAGTTTGTATTACCCCCTTTTTGAGCTTTGCCCAATAGGTACCTCTGTCTTTTCCTTGACATAAGCATTGGTTAACAGGGGTGATAAAAGAGCCTGCCTTAAGCCGAGATGCTGTAAAAATGCAGGTTTCAAGGTGGGTATGACATGGAGAAATTTACCATGTGTCCAGATGACTACAGATTGTATCAGTAGTGTATGTTTAGTACAGCCCTCATTGCCACAGTCTAGCCTGGTCAGGTAAGCATGGGGCAGAAAAGAGATGGGATGGATTTAGCAAGGAGTCGGAAAGAGAGGGCAATCCTTGTTTGGAAAACTTTTTTCTTTGAATCCATTTTTTATGAGGCCAGTTCACTTGTTTTGTTTTGTTTTTTGACAATAAATTGGAGCTTCTTTGTGTGTAAACAGCGGATGAATAACTTAATTTCAAGCTTGGGAGAAAACCACTCCCCAGGATATCTCTAGCAAGGGGTGAAAGAAGTTCTGCTAGGGCTTGATCCTAGATTTGTGAGCTAGGTTAATGGGCCAGAAGCCACCATGGAGAACTTAAAGTGTCTGGCTAGAGAGTATCTAGATCAGGGGTTCCCCACCTTATGTTGCCAGATGTTCTTGGCCAGAATTTCTGGGGCTTGTCATCAACTACAGATGCTTTGAAACTATAAACATGTAGAGCTCTTCTGACATGAAAGTGTGGGAAATAGGAAGCTCTGAGGAAGCAAAATCTCACTTGTCGTGCTCAAATTATATATAGGCAATATGAGCTGGTTTGTTTAAACCTTTAGCCTAGCTTGAGTTCCCTCTTGTCCCTTTAATATTGGGTGCAGTTCATTGATGATTTAATTGCAATAGTCAGTATACTAATTAACAGGAAATGGTTGTCATGAGGATCTCAAATAGAAAGGCATTAGGCTTATCATTATTGAATGTGTATCTTTTAAGAGATCCAAGTAACAGTTTCGGAACTGTACGTGAAATGTTTATCAGTTTGTATAATTACCAGCAAGCTTCAACCAGTGGCAACCTCTTTGCAGGTTATCCCTGACTATTTCCAGCAGTAGGTTTGGGGAGAGGTGGAAGAATTAGCCTATGTTGAGGTTGGTGGAAGGTAGACCTTCATGTGTTTTGGAATTAAAGTTCCCATAGTTCTTCTCTGTTGCCATTGTTGTTGTCCATATTGTTACTAATAATATTGTTACTAACCTGCTAGTTCACTTCTAGGTGGTGGTCAAGCCAACCATGTGCCCATTTGTAAAACAATAAAACATATAAAAACAAACTCAAATATAGGATCATTAAAATCAAACAAAACCAAACATAGTGATAACCAGTTTCATCAGTTAAGTCAACAATGGTTAAAATGATCACAATAAATTAAACAATAAAATGGCAGTTTCAAAAGACATGTTGTCACATGTTGGTCGTGGTGGCAGAGGCTTATGAAACTGGAAATTCAAAAATACCAGCATTTTTCTCTCCTTGTTCTCTGTGATCTTTTGCATACATTCATCCATTTCTGAATCACAGTCCTGTGAAATGAGAACTGGTATCAGGTGCAGACTGTAAGCATCAGAGTTGTGACTTTCTTAATTTTAGCAGTGAAGGTTTAATTTAAGCATGTTGTATGTTATTTGGCCATATTTACACCAGTGAAAAGTTACATCATAATCATGGTGATAAATTCCCACTACTTAATGAGTTGTCTCTTGTGCTCCTAGTAGGTCATGAATATAAAAGTGATGCATTCATATATTGGCATACTGGACTTCCTGTTTCAAACAAGGAAGTGTTACCTGGTTATGAAATAGTAGTTTTGAATATTTTTGGATACCATCTAGAATGCACTCTACACTTCTAGACACAGAACCTTTCCTCCTTCCATCAAAATGCATGAAACAGAGGCATGAATTAATACATTTTGTGTCTGGTGGGATGGCCATCTTTTATGGATATTAACCGCCTCCATTTCTGACTCTTTTCTTTTTTTGCCTCTGTCAGCTCTATTCTTAAGAAGTTTTTGGCAGTCTCCAAACTTTTTTAAAAATGCATTTATTATTTGATGTGGAATAACCACAGACATTGTGGTAACTTATTTTCTTTTGTCTGATTTTCTCTTTCTGCTTTCCAGTGGCTGTAAAATTTACAACCTGGTACACTTCTTGATTTTGCAGAAACAGCCAAATGCTGTTTTCAGCAACATTTTTCATACCTGGCAGGAATCTTAAGTCGCTCTTACTGCTCCTCAGCACTATGAGTAGTTTTTTATTGCTTTTTTGTTGCTTTTTGTTTTGTCTTTCAGTTCAACTTTGTGGGGAAACTTTTGGGCCCACGTGGCAATTCTCTGAAGCGCTTGCAAGAAGAGACATTGACCAAAATGTCAATATTGGGAAAAGGATCCATGAGGGACAAAGCAAAGGTAAAATTGTGAGCTGAAGATCATTAGTGTGCCTTGTACTGCTCTCTCTGTGTGTGTTTTTTTCTCTTCTTCTTCTTTGCTGATTATAGTGTAGCCTGGGGAGAGGGGAAGTAAAAATCAAGTTGTATATCTATCTCTATTTGTGCTTTGTGTGCTTGTTGGTCCACTTCCCATGGCATATTCCTGGCTTTGAAGGAAATCGCCATCAATTAACCCTTTCTTTTTTGATATGGTCAACTGTGTTGGAGCCATGGCTCAATAGCAGAGTGTGTGCTTTATGTGCAGGTTTGGTTCCCCAAAATCTGAAGCTAGGGTTGAGAAAGACCTTGTCTAAAATGCTGGAGACCTGCTGTCAAGTCAGCATAAGCATAGCTGGTTTAGATGGATCAGCTGTCGGAGTCAGCATATTCTAGTTTCCTGTGCACCATCGGCTAGAAGATAATGGGATGAACATGTTCTGAAACAGCAGCCAATCTTTTCCCCCTTCTGTTCTTGGCAATGCCAAGCAATAAGAATTATGCACTGTGCTGCCCTGGTGCTGTGATTTTTTTATACCCACTTCTACTTTGAGCAGCACCTGTCTTTGCTGCTCAAAGACAAGTGCACAGAAGTTGTAGTGTAATAAGTATCACACTGCATATTGTAGTCATAGGTACTACTTGGATGGAAAGCAGAAAAAATTAGAGGCTGCTGTTTTCAGTGGCAGATACATGTTTCATCCTGTTCCGTTTGGGTCGGTATGGTGCAGAGACTAGAAAAGTTCCCAAATTCTGAACTAGAGTAGAAGCAGTCTTGTGGGTCATTTATTTCCATCCCTTCACTTGATACAAGGAATCCAGAGTTAGAACAAACCCAGCAAATGGCCATCAAGCAGATGCTGCTCAGAATCCTCTTCCATTTCTCCCAATGGTCACCTAAATCAACACTTCCGCTTTACTGAAGCAAGGCAATTCTCGATTACTGGTACCATTCTCCAGACTCTCACTGAAGTTCTTAGGCCCTTCTCCATCTGCTGCAGACTGCCTTTGTTCAGTCTACAGTGTCCCATTTTCCACCAGCTTCTGAAGCAAGAATGTTAATGAAACAGTCTTACAAGTTCCCTTAATACTTGATTTTCTAATGGATCTGGCCGCATTTCCCATCATGATATGTGATTATAGGAAAGAGAGGAGAGGAAGCTGTGCATAAACAAATAAATTAAGAACCAATTTTGGTGCTCTGTGCACATAGCGGAGCTGTTATAACTCAGTGAATCTTCCATAAGCCCTTTAGTTAATGCTTAGGGTGTTCCCAGCAGTGTAGATGTCTTTGGCGTAGAGCATGAGAAAGGAAGACACACAACTGCCTATTCCAGAGCACAGGTTTCTTGAAGACACAGGGAAAGGTGTAGGAGAATTGATCCAGGAAAATTCAAATTGGAAAATCAGAAGGAAAAAAATGGTGAAGTAGTGAAGTCTGGACATTATATACATGTCTGTGTCTGTGTTTGTGTGCATGCACACACTTTGAAGGAATAAATAAAAGAAGGTAATTCATTTAGAGCAATCCATAGGCCAGAAATCTACTTCAGGAAGAAAGTAAACTGAGGCACAGAGGATCCAGAGAAGTCAAGATCTATAAAAGTAGAAATTTCACAAGAAAAAGTAAATGGTGTGTGAGCTTGAATATACACCATTTTGTCTCAAGCAGCAATTGCTTTTTGTTCCACTTTCACTGTTTCCTGCATTCTGATCAGCTGCTTTACCCTTAAAATTCAGTTCGGTATTGGTAGATCATAAGTTGGGAGGAAAGTGTGCTACTTTCCTTTATTCCCAGGAAGCAAACCATCCTTTTTTTCACTGAAATACATGACATGCTTGTTGAATTTTACCAAGGTCAAACTCTGGGCATGGAGCCATTGGAGATATCCAGCTTTGTCACCTGTCTGTAACATTCCATTGTCTTCCAGTTTGGCCACAGCAATCATGTGTCTTGTCTTTTTGCTCATTCCATAGCATAAAAGTCTAGGCTGAGTGAAATTCTTTTGTCCTTTTCACTAGCAAGAACAGTCAATCGTGCTGTATATGAAAATCCATTTAGTAGGTTGGCCATTCCCACGGGTCAGTAATCCAGTCCACCACCCATATAGTTGTAGGCCAGGCCACAAATCCTCATGCCTTTTGCCCAGTGTACCCTTCGGTCTGAGTAACAACCACCACCAGAGGGAAGGACTGGTAAACCACTTCTGAGTACTTTATACAAAAAAAGAAGAAACAAACAAACAAAAACCCTTAGAAAGATTGCCATAAGGCAGAATTGACTCAATTCATAGTTACTACTCGTACCTGGTTCCCAGCCACTGAAAGCAAATGTTGTTGCAGACAACCACCTGGCAGATAGCCTTTGGTTTGTATTCCTGCCTTGAGCAGGGGGTTGAACTTGATGGCCCTATAGGCTCCCTCCCAGCTTCTCTATTCTATGATTCATTTTGGAGCATTAAATGTCTTCAGTAAAACATTTGCTTTGCTTAATTCTAGGAAATATTCCCATGTTTTTGGTGGATAAAATTTTTGAGAGATAAAAATTCAAGTATGTTTAATGCAACAGGGATGAAAATTGCATTATGGAAATGAAAATTTAAGTCTTATTCATTGAAATAGAATTTTTAAAAAGCAGGAAAGATCAGACAGCTCAAATTGAGTGAATTTTAGGTCATACTTTGACCCTAATGAGAATTCACTATAGTAGGTGGTGTTCTCGGTCTAAGTTACAGTGACATTTCCTGTTTTTTGGGCCATTTCCGGGCTTCCGGCGGCCATTTTGGCCGCCGAACAGCTGATTGTCGGGCTTCGTTTTGCAAAGATCGGTAAGCGAAACGCTTACCGGTCTTCACAAAGCGAATTTAGCCCTATTAGAAAAACATTGAGCGATCGCATTAGCGATCCGAAAAAACGGATCGCTATGCGATTTCGTCGTTATACGGTGCGCTCGTTAAGCGAGGCACCACTGTATTCCCATGTTTTTGATGGATAAAATTTTTGAGAGATAAAATTCAAGTATGTTTAATGCAACAGGGATGAAAATTGCATTATGAAAATGAAAATGTAAGTCTTATTCATTGAAATAGAATTTTTAAAAAGCAGAAAAGACCAAAGTGAATTTTAGGTCATACTTTGACCCTAATGAGAATTCACTATAGTAGGTGGTGTTCTCGGTCTAAGTTACAGTGACATTTCCTGTTATTTCTTGATCCCACTGGGATTTACCATCACCAATGGTGTCATCAGCACCACCACTAAATAGGACCAGCTACTGAAAAGCAAAGGATGCTGTTACTGCTTCTTTACGCCATGGTTTACCAATATGGTTCTGTCTCATTATGTCACACTGGCTAAAATGAAAGGTTAGCACAATTGCAAAAAGCCGTAGGTTTGTTGCACATTTTTTGTCTTGATTATATTTTCTGCATTAAAATTAAATAAATTGTGCGCAGCAAGTGTCCAACACTGTTTACAGCTGTTCGGATGACAGTTCCCTGGAGTACCTATATTACAGGTTTAGTTCTGTATGGATTTTTTAGCAAAATATGATTCAGGAGAGTGATGTGCTTCCCCCTGCGTTTATGAGAGTTCAAAGCAATAAGAAACAAAAAATTCAAGCGTTCTCCATCAAGGAGTATAATTCCTTTGTGGGGACTCTGATTTTGGTGCTCAGGGCCTCAACCTAGCCCCACATTATCTGTAGCTTATATAAAGGATATCTAAAGGCCTAGGAATTTAATAAAATAATTGCATCTTGGTATGTCACGTATGGGGTAAAGTGTGTCACATTTAAATTATAGAGGTACTTGAATTTTGAGATGGTTGACTTCAGCCAGTACATAGACAGAATAAAGAAAGATGTCCTCTTGACACTGAAGGCATTTTATTATGGGCTAAATGCTAAAAAGATAGCTGAACCTGTCATGCCCATAGCTCATAGACAGATGGTTTTTACAGCTTTTAGACAGCCAGCTTGGTATTATTGTAAAGTGAGAACAGGTAGCACAGGCTGTATCTGTAGAGACTGCAGCCTCGAAGCCTGGCTGTGATGTTAGCGGAAACAGCTGCTGGGTAGGCTTGATGACCAGTGGCAATGGGCATAGGCTGTGGTCTTAGTAGGCATCCTTCAGTCTCAAGAGGCTATGATGATGTGCTCTGAGTAGAGGTCTTGGAACAGCGTCTAGTGTGGGTGAGAATGCAGATTCAAGAGTGACCATCGGTTCCTCACTGAAGAAAGGCCAATTCGAGAGTGACCATCCGTTCCTCACTGAAGACTAATGCAATTCCAGGAGGCAGTGGAAGACAGGAGGGCCTGGCGTGCTCCGGTCCATGGGGTCATGAAGAGTTGGACAACACTTAAACCACTAAACAACAACAAAGCAATTAAGACAGCATTTAAGCAATTAAGACAGCATTTAAGCAATTAAGACAGTATTTAAGTTAGTAACAATGAGTATACAATACTAAACGAATCAGTGGTTACAGTGCCAGTAAGCAGCACCAAAACGCATTCAATGCATTAAGGTACAACAATACACTTTAAAAAACCCACTAGGCAGCCAGTCATTCAGGGAAAGCTTGCCTCAAGACAAAGGTCTTCACCTGCTTGCAGAAGGACAGTAAAGATGGAAGCATTGTTTCTTGAATATCTCATGCATAGCTATGTTTGTACATTCCTTTCACAAGAATATGGTTGTACATCCAGGCCTTCCCGCCAGTCAATACCTGATTTCTTTTCTATTCCTCCTTATTTTATTCTCACTCTATTTCATTGCAACTGTATCAAATGATTATGGAATGTTCTTGTGTTTTGTTTATCCTATACTGGAAGCCTCCTAGAGTGGTCGAGTAGACCAGATAGGTGGGGTATAAATCAAATAAATAAATAAATAAATCTTAAACACCAGATATGTGGTCCAGGAGGTCTAAATCCCACTTACATTGCTTGGCATTTCAGCTAGAGAGCTTCCCAGTGATCGT